CCAACCTGTCGGTTGTTTATATAACTGTTTTTTATTTTAAACTGCTGTTGCAAATAACGGGGTGAATGGCACATTAATCACAAATGTACTACTTTTATAAATCATGCCTTCAGAACTAATGCGTCGCGTTTGCTTCTGGGGAGGGGTACCAGTGAGTCGGAGCAGACGATTTGATGTGTAGATCATTTCGCTGTTGTGTCGCAAGTTGACCGCATTAACGGTTGTATCATGTTAGAATTTAATATTAATTTATTTTTGAATCGAACGTAAAAATAAATCTGTTCACTGCTCAAATAAAAGGCATAGATCTGCGAAATATGTCCATGAGCGTGTCTGTTTGCGATTCGGTACAAATTCATGCCACCCTTCCAGTACTTAAAACAACTTCACTTATGTTTCATCGAGTGAGTACGTCCAAATATTTGCGACTGCATAAGCGACCAGTACAGACAGAAACTTAATCTGATCCCTTGACGCCCCTGCAACATGCTTAATGCTGACGCGATGGATTTGTAGTGAAACAAACTGCTATGCTGCATATCTGTCTGCTGCAACAGAAAGTTGCTAATGGTTCCAAAGCTGCCGCATCCTTTTGTTTTTTATGTGTTCTGATTCGTAATCGATTCAGATTTGTCGTTTGTGGTTAAGTATGTCGTTCAGATCCTTAAATGTGTCAGACTGAGGTTCCCGGGTCATTAATTAGCTTACCGTTTAACTGTTACTTGTTTTATTTAGCCCGGTGCCAGTGCAATTCTTCCCGGCATGACTACGGCTTATGCTCCATATGCCTATGCTTTGAACGCGCATGCTGTGTACCCAGGTTTGGTTGCGGCCAGTCCGGAAGCACTCAGCGCTGTAAGTGTCCATGACTTTGGTTGGTTCGTCTCTTTGAATGACCGTTTGTCGCTACTCGAGCGCTCGGCAATGGACGATGTGTTTTTTAGGTGAATGGGATTTTGACGACAGGCACCGCAACGGCGCCGAACGTCACAGCGGCCGCAGTCGCCGCCGCGCAGGTTCAAAAGGCTGTCATCGCAGGCTCAAGAGGAGAACGAGTTGAGGTGAGAGTCTAATTCGAACTTGCGTAGCATAAATCGTTGCGGATGTAATTGGCGCTGCCACGCTCCTGTCCCTTTAAACCGATCGACCGCTCGGCGTTCTTCCTCTCGAACCGCCCCGCATAGATCGGGTCGTTGCTACGATTATGAACGAACGAATGAACCTCGGTTGTCGTCATCGTCTCGTTCACAGTCGCTTAGTTGTCGACGTCTTTGTCGCTACTCTCCTTTAGCCGTTGCGCATAGCAGTGGGCGATTGCCGGGGTCACCAGCGACGAGCGAATCATTGGTCCACTGTCAAGCGCAACGCTGTTCGTTCGGTT